GTTCTGGAGGCTGAGAAGTTCAAGATCAATGAACTGGCAGATTCAGTGTCTGGTGAGGGCCTTCTTCTCAGTTCTCATACAGTGGAATGGACAAGGGAGATTCTTGAGCCTCTTTTATAAGGGCACACACTAATCCCATTCATGTAGATTCTGCTCTCATGACCTAATCTTGGTTATACCATCACCTTGGGGGTTAGGTTTTCAGCACACTGTAATTGAATGCAATAGTTTTTACCTCTTGGTGAATGCAAGCCTATTAGGCACAACCAGGAGATTAAAGAATGAAGAGAGGTTTATTATTGCAGCAAGTGAGAAATATATTGGGAAAAATTCCCAAACAAGTGTCTCCTGGAGCAAAGAAGGCAAGGAATTTTTGTTGGGGAACTCATAATATTCATACAGGAAAGATTCACCATCGCATGTAGAGGCAGTCATATTCTTGAACATGTTTAATGAGATGTCAGCGTTCAAAAAATGGAATATTTAGCTGGGCATGATGGTGTGTACCTGTAGTTCCAGTCCTCAGGAGGATGAGTTGGGAGGATCCCTTGGATGTGGGAATTGAAGAACAGTCTGGGTAAAATAGCAAGACCATGTCTCAAAAAAACAAAATTGTAGATGGGTATGCATTTGGGCAGAGAATTCAGTATTATAATAATCAAATTTTCTCTAGATCATCTAAAAGTGGTAGGTAGAGTGGGATGACTAGCAATTTTGGTGGACTACTTATAAGTTTCCTGGAACAAAAAGCAACTTTAGAGAAAGGCTTATAGTAATTTAAAGGTGCAGGAAGTTTTTAGTGCAAGCATAAGTTATTGACTCTGGAAGTACCTAGTGGCTAACAGTATGAATTTAGAGTTTGGGGATGCAAATATTCACTCCATATTAAGGTACATGAAGACTGTACAAGAGTTATGAGGTCATCATTGCTTAAAGGGATCCAATTTCCAAATCCCCAACTTTTTTAGTAGTATTTCCTAAAAATAATTTGCTAAGAAATCACTTCAAGGTTTTCCTTCACAATTTAAGAAAAAGCATAGCTCTCAGAAGTCAGGAATATTACTATAACACTTTGACCCACAGTGTCAAAACCTATGGGGCCAAAGTGACAATTTCAATACTGATGTCTAGGAATCTTCTTTAACTCAGGGTGCTATAACCTACTCCTTCTCTATGCATCTCACTAGGAGGTCTATTTCCAATAAAAGTTTATGTTTAATAATAGTTGTAATACATAATATTTTCATGTTATTATTTATCTATAGTGAATGCATAATTGCAATTATAACTTAATCTAGAAGACCTTTTTATACTTGGAGCCTTATGGTCAGAAGGAAATAAAAATAATTTCTATTTATGGACATACTTTTGTTGCAGAGAAAGTCAATATGGTAATCAATAGCAGACTTTCAAGTATAAATATAGATGATAGGATAAATTCTATGGGGAGAATATGATGGACATTTGATTTTAATGAAAAAAAAGAACAATGGAAATGTTTTTAGAGTTAAAGATGTGTTTACACCTTGTTTCACTTCAAGTGTTTGATGGTAGGCACAAAACTAAATGTATGTGTGTGTGTGTGTGTGTGTGTGTGTATTTGGGGGATTCTTAGGATTGAACCCAGGGGTGCTTAACTACTGAGTCACATCCCCAGCCCTTTTTATATTTTATTTAGGGACAGGGTCTCACTAAGTTGCTTAGGGACTTGTTAAGTTGCCAAGACTAGCTTTGAATTTGCAATTCTCTTACCTAAACCTCCCAAGCCACTGGGATTACAGATGTGTACCACCATGCCTGACCAAATTAAATATCTTTAAAAGAGTGATGAAATGATTTCATTTTAGAATAGCAATATTTACAATTCCAGAAATGAATCCTTTTGTATCTATTTAGCCATGATGAAAAAAATTTGGATGTCAACCTGAATATGTGTAAGGAAGTACATAGCTTCTCAAAATTCTTTTGGGGTTTATGTGAATAAAAATCTAAAGGCCACAGGGCTGGGGATGTAGCTCAGTGGTAGAGTGCTTACCTAGCATACATAGGCCTTGTTTCAATCTGTACCACTGCAAAGCAAACAACAAACAAACAAAACAAAACAAACCCAGTCATATAGGGCTATTGTAAAGGTTAGGGATAAAGAATACAAAGTATCTAGCAAAATGCTCAATTAAGACAGCTAATTGAGCTGAATTCTAGTTTTAATTCTCTTTCTTTTTTGATATGTAGTCCAGGGCCTTTTTCTCTGTGTTTTTGTTTCATTGCCTAGATGAAGGATAACAAAGATGACTGTAAAACCATTTAAGTATAGAAGTTAAATAAGCATAAATTTACCTGACTTCATTAATGTTAATGGTGACTTTCATAGTGATGCGCTCTATAAGTCAAAACATGTAGCAAGTAAAAAAAAAAAAAGAAATGCTTATAAGAGCTAGGCACAGCAGCACATATTTGCCATCTCAGTTACTTGAGAGGCTGAGGCAGAAGGACTACAAGTTCAAGGCAAGCCTCAGCAAGTTGGTCAAATCCTATCTCAAATAAAAAGGCATGGTAGAGCACTTACCTAGTGTGTGTAAAGCCCTGGGTTTATTCTCCAATACCAGAAAAAATGGTTATCAAAAGAGTGAAAGAATGAACAAAGGAAACTTGCTAGAGTGAAAGCTCTATTCATTGGGCACCTTCTTTTTATTTCCACATTTTCCACCTGTGGTGCACTTAAAGCCCATTTTGGACATTTTCCAATAAGTTAAACTTGATAAAAACAGTGCTGGTCAGTGGTAGAGCACTTGCCTAACACATGCTAGTTCCTGGGTTTGATCCTCAGCACTGGAAAAAAAAAAAGTTAGGAAACAAAATCTTTTCCTGGAATGTGGCTATGTCTTATTTTTCAGAGTATGTTCCCTCAGTGGACTCTTCATTTTGCAATATAGTGAGCTAGTTAAGAACAGTGCCTCTAGAATCATCTGGGTTAGGCACAATTTTAAGCACTATCACATAACTAGCTGTGTGTCTTTGGACAAGTCAATATCTTTGACCCCACTCTCCATCTTTAAATGGACATACTAATATCCTCATAAGATTGTTTTGAAGATTATGGGTTGTGTGGCAGATAGAAGAATACCTCTGCAAATATACCCATGTCCAAATCCCTGGAACCTAAGAATGTGTTATCTTAAATTGCAAAATGGGACTTTGTATGATTGAATTAGGGATCATGAGAAGATATAATTTATTACCCTGTGGATTTGATGTAAGTATAGGGTCTTTAAGGAGAAAGGGGGAGATAGGAGAGTCAAA